AATCTAACATCTTTTTCTTTGACTTATAGTTCCTGTCAACAACCTTTTTTAAGTTTAGATTCTTTGACTAGAACCTGAAAAGGGTACGGAGAATAATAATGAGGTTGTGATTCTCTCAAAACTGTCATGATATCATTTTTTAGAGAGTAACCCAATAAAGGCAACATTGGTTAATACTTTCAATAGTATCTGTTTCATTTCGTTGAAAGTAATATTCAAATCGTTTATAGAATACAAAACATAATTTTTATATTATTTCTTCAAACTGATAAAAAAATGAGATATATTTTAGTTAGAAATGAATACTAATTGTAACCGCATTTCTAAAAAGTTATCAATAGGTTTACATGACAAATACGTAGAATGTAATAGCTATTGAGTACATTGAACTAATTCGAACTCTGTTGGGATATATAATCATAATATATAAATAGAAATCTTATTTCCATAAAGGTTTAAGTTACTTCCTTTCGTAATTAAAATTTCTTAAGAAACTAAAAATAGAATATGTCGTAAAAATCATTCAAAAATAAATCTATATAATGACACACGTCATGATTTTCTTCCTGTTACTATCAATCTTCCACAATTAGATTTGTATCGCCTGAGTTTTCACTTATAATTATACGTCTTTTTCCTTGACTATCAATCTCATATTTCCGTCTATCTTTTATCAATTCGATTCTCGTCATAAATCAAGCGATAAATTTGACGTCATAACATATTTCCAATATCTAACAAAAGATACAGATATTTCAATTGAAGTTGTTTTAAAAATATTATTTTATGATAGTTGTATTTAAACAGGTTCAAATATACCTTGATCATTTGATTGTGTAAGCACATACTTAATACTTCACACATGTATCTATACTTCTTAAGATGAAGTATTCTGAACTATTTGTTTTAATTCAAATTCTTACCACTTTTATGTAATACTTGTTCTTTTGTTATTTCTTTTTTTTTTTGGTATGTCATCTGGCAATTCATGTACAGTTGATTCAGTATTTTATGATGAAACGACATCACAAAAAAATTTTGGACAAGAATTATTGATACCAGAAACAGTTAAACTCGATTTACTTCTTCATACAAAAACATTAGGAAATAATGTAAATTTAATTGTAAAAGAAATTCATACAATGATAACATATTGTTAATTTTTGATAGATGAAATCATTTCTTACATTAATGAATCAAAATCAAATAAGTGTAGATGAACAAAAACAAGCCTATGAAAATATTAAACAAAATTATGATAAATTAATAAAAACATTAGAACAAAAAAAACAAGATGGCATTCTTAAAGATATTGATCTTGATGTGTAAATTTTTGTTTTTCATTATGTATATAAAAACAAAACAATTTTTTTCTTTTCTTTAGAGATTTAAATAAAGAATTAGAAATGATGAAAAAATTATTAAAAGAAATTGCTACACGAATAACAGGAAATCTCTATGGTAAATTAGCTAATAATTCATCATTGGATCGACATACACTTTTAACATATGATGATAGTCATTCAGTATGTATATGAAATTCTTTATTTTTAAAAAATCTATTCAATTTATAGAGTCCATATGATCAATCTTCTCTATGTAATCATGATGATCTTATGGATCAATATCAAAAATTATTAAATGCTGTTAATACAGGAAATATCAATCGAAACAATTTTATAAAACCTCTAATAAATAGATTCGAAATTGATTCAACACAATTGAAAACAACGTATATTTAATTATATATATTTTTTTCGTCTTTCGATTATGATTGAATATTTTATTTGTAGTAATTCTCCTCGTGTATCGACATTAAGTTTACTCGATGATCAAATATCAATAGAAGACAAACAAAAACCATATGTTTATGTATCTGGAGTATGTTTTAATAGGAAGAAGAAGTTTTTCTTTTAAACAAAAATGACATCAATTCACTATGTATTAAAATTTTAATATCGGTTACTAACCATAGTTACGAATCATGATTAGTTTTTATAGTTGATATAATACACTGAAGGGAGCAAGTAGAGAAAACTTCATCCTTTCTTTTAGGGTTCAGAAGACGAACAACAACAACAGCAAAGTAAAACTATATCACCTATACCATACATGCAAGGTATTGAAACAACATCATTAGAACTCAGTTATATACCATCTACATCTGTTGAACATCATCAATATAAAATCGAACAAGATCTACATATACATGATACTCCAATAGTAACAAGAGAAAAAACTAGCGGGAATAAACAAGAATATAATCACTATCAAATCGAAGAAGATTTACATATACACAATACTCCAATAGTAACAAAAGAAAATAATAGTGGAAATAAACAAGAATATCATCACTATAAAATCGAAGAAGATCTACGTATACATGATACTCCAATAGTAACAAGAGAAAAGAACAGTGGAAATAAACAAGAATATCATAAACTTGAAAGTATATCAAAAATTGAACAAAAAGTAAATAAAATTAATTAATTTTCGAAACTAAATTATTTTCAATAGGAAATTATGAATGATATGAAATATGATAAGCAAGCAACTCCATTAGTAGTACCTAATGGTATTCGAAATTCAACGATTTCAAGTAAGACAGCACGTGCTAATGATTGTGATAGTGGATTTATAACAAATAATATTACGAAGTTTACTTATGATAGGTAAAGATTTTGTTGAAATAAAATATTATTAAACAATTTCTATGTTTAGTAAACATTCTATTAGTCCAACGAATGAAAGTCATGTACAATCATTAGATGAAGGACAAGGTTTATTAAATAAATAAAAAAACGAATAATATTCTATTCTTTTTTTTTGGTAGAATCAATTTCATCATCATTACGTTCGAGTGGATCTGATTCGGGAGGCCGCTGTAGGTAAATAGATGAAAGAAAATCAATGATTTTTTTACCATTACATACATTTTTTTTGCCGTTCAAGTAAATATATCAGAAGATTTCATAGTTCAACATTACATCGAAAAAAGCCAATTCATCAATCAGGTATAAATAGAAAAATCCCTATTCTTATGACAATGCTTTTTTCCTGATAGATTCTTGTTTATCTGATATTGGAACACATATGATGGATACATTAGATTCATTTTCTCAATCATTATCAAATAATAAAAAATTACAACGTAATCATCATGTATGGAAACCACAAAAAACTTCAAGTCCACACCGTTCATGTTTATCTATATCTCACCGAGGAACATCATTTGGAAGTTTTGATATAGAAAATTCTAAAATTAAATCTCATCATCCATTAATTGTATCACGAGTTCAATCAAAAATAAATACAAATCAAAATTTCGATCAACAAAAAACGATACCAACAACTCATCGAAGTTCACTTCATATAAATCATACACAAGACAAAACCGAACCAGATTTACCCAATAAATTTTATTTTGATAAACAAAAAGGCGTCATTTAGTAAGTAAAACGAATAATATCTATTATAATCTTATATTTATATTAAGTCGATATGAATCTAATGAAAACCGAAATCCAATAAAAAGTGATTATCAATTATCTCCACAGAAGAAAATCCATCGATGTGGTCAATGTGGAAATGTTACATCATATCATCATCGGTTTGTATTTAAAGCGTTCATGTTTCATTAAAGTGAAGTTTTGTTTTTATTTTCTAGTCGTCATACTAAATCCGTATTACGACCGACTAAAACTCAAGTAGATGATCTTGGTTATGAAAGTGGATATATGTAAATATAAAATAATTTCTAATAATTTATCATTATTTTTTCTTCTTTAAGGAAACGAAGTCAATCATGTCGATATATTGACTATGTATCATCATCCGATAGTGATTCCGATCTAGTAAGATAATAATATTAAATATATGAAAAATATATTTGATTATTTTTTTTTAGTGTCCAAATTATCTTCAAATGATTGCATTAAATGAAGCTTATAATCAAGCTGAAAAAGTTGAAAATTGTTCACAACGTTTATCAAGATTTATTACTCGACAACTTAAACTTGCTTTAACTCACATTTAAGAAGAAAACAAAATTAATTATTTTTTACTATTTATCTAATTACATCAAGATAGATAGATAATATAAATTTTCTTATTTGAATTTTTAAATTATTTGTTTCGTTTTTTTACAAAAGATAATGAACAATATTTAGACATTTTCTTCAAAAATTTAAACATCTATCATATTTCTTGATGTTATAGTTGTTTACCTATGAAATAAATTCAAAAATAGAATTTTAAGAAAAATGAAAACAATATTGTATAGTGGATTTAACTGAGAAATTCATCATTTATACATATTTCTCTTCAATATCGATCAGATTATTATTGCCATAGATACCTCTGAGTTTCGATAATGATATAAAAATCAGATTTTGGATACTCTTGAAGATATATTTTACTGAAATAATTAATTCAACAAGCCATTTTTTCAGTGTAAAAAAGGTTGGCAGAAAAAGACCTTGTAAATAAACATGAAACATTCCTAATGTGAATCATTTGTTTTTATGCATCAGTAAATGAACTGTTAACGTATATCCCACTTATCATACTATATATAATATTACAATAACAAAATATTTTACGCATATAACTTGAATTATGATAGAATGAATCAGAGCACTTTACTGCATACAATTTCGACATTCCTTTTCTTTTATATAAACACTTGAATATTTCACAGAATAATAAACAGAAAATAAAAAAAATGAAAAGTAAGTACAATAATATATACGCAAAAAATATTATTATTTTTCGTAAAGTAAATCATCGTCAAGGTATCGGTTTCATAAAAAAAAAGTCCAAGTCAAAAACTTATGTAATGGTAAAAACAACTCTTTGTGTATTGCTCGAAGGAAAATGTGGTTATCGTTATAATTTAGTATTACAAAAAAACAGAATATCCATTACAGATTTGATTGAAGATAAAGATCATATCTGTATAAAAAAAATCCATGACATATTTGCACTGAAAACTTTTGCTTTGATGATTTTATTGAATGAAAATTTTTTCTATATAGTTATTCAAGAATGAATAAATTCATCCTATAGCTATTTATTTTGAATTAAGATATCGAATCATTATTCATATAGTCAAAACAAGTTGCCACGTCATTTACTATTTATCTTATGACATCTACCGTGTATACGATCTAAATACATTAATCCCTATTATTCATCGCCTATTCTTTGTTTATTTAAATAGTTAATTCAACTTGATTTTATTTTTCGATATTTATTATTTAATTGTAATAGAAAAAAACGAGTGATGACGAAACGTCCATTTAATATTGAAAATAAAGAAAATGAATCCGAATCAAATTCTATACCGACAAAAAAAGCTAAAACTATTGATTCACACAATGAACCCGAATTAAATTCTATACTAAAAAATACCGCTAAAATTAATGATTCACAAAACGAACCAGAACAGGAATTTACAACCGATGATGAAGATCGTGAAAGTTATAATGAAAGTGATTTTAGTCAAGGTGATGATGAAAGTGAAGATAGTGAAATTATACGACCATTGCCAATTTCATCACTTATTGAACGACATGATGGTGCAATTCATCCAGACAATAAACAATATTATATTTATACAAATACTGACTTAATGATGATTTCACACACAGCTCGTTTTTGGAGTCGAAAATATTTAAAAATATTTCCACATGTCGATCCAGATACGTATGATGTATGTTTTTCGATACTTAATAACAAAAAAAAAAAAAGATTTTTTTTTCTTTAGATGTATATTCACAATGATTTTATTTGTTATGGTGAATTAGAAATTATTGAAAATTGTCTTGTTGATATAGCTAAAGGAACATATATGAAACATAAAGATCAAATGAATATGACAAATTATATAACTACATTTCGTCGTGTTGAAGCTTTAACTGTTGTACTTCAACGTTCAACTAATTTTACAGGTATTGATGATGGTCAACGTTTTCATGGTATTATACGTGTTATTGGTGCTTGTTATGTAACAATTCTTGTTAATTTATTACCAAAATCTATGTTTGATAATACACCTATAACTGATGATCATATGAGAAAATTAATTAAATTTTCTCAACAGATACCAAATTTTAAGCAAGTTATTAAACAAGCTTTAATTCTTGGTCATATGCTCTTATCAATAGGTTCTATTGTAAGTGCTTATACAACTGTACTTCAAGTAAGTTTTGAAATAAATTTTTTTATATTAAACAAAAAAAAAATATATTTAGACTGTTTATTGTAAATGGTCATTAATTATGGATCAAATTACAATTGATTTAAATAAAAAACCTGATGAAGAAGATGAAGAGATTTGGCAAGCATTAAAACATGCATCTGGAATCAGTAAACATGCTTTTAAAGAGTCTTTTAATTTCTTAAAAGAATTAGATCTTTATACAAAAGCTTATCCTGGTTTAGGTGGTCATTCACATGATATTAGTAAATGGTCAAAAACTCGACGAAGTACATTTTTATCTGATAGTATGGACGATGAACCGGTCGGAAGTTTTTGGTCACGATTATAAATCATTTCTTATGTACATTTATGTAAAAGGCTTGTTTTATTTTTATTTTTTTTTGAATCGAGATGAAGTTTGTTATTTTATGGTATGAAAGTATTATTTCGAATAGTATATCAAGTGTTTTCTTTTTTTCATCTTTCTCACATTTTTGTATAAAACACTTGATCGTATGTCAATATATTATATGTATATAGAAGATTCGAGCGATTTTTTCAAGGAGGGTTTACTAAGAAATATGAAAATGAGTTATAACGGGGCAACAGCTTGTTTTTTTCTTCTTTTTTTTTTTTTTTTGAGTTTGCATATGAGAAGAGATTAGAGTGTTTGAATGCGTAAACGAGCGCACAGCTAGAAGTAATGTGAAGTATGTAAAGATATACCGATCAACAAGGCCATAGTCTTCTGTTATATGTTCGTATATGTGAAAAAAAAAGAAGAAAAAAAACGAAACGGTGTTCTCAAGCATTTTATTTTATTCAAAACTTTACCTTAACATTTTCTTTATGCCTTTTTCGAGAAAAAAAAAGAAACTACGTAAAAAAAAACGCCTACTTTCTTTTATAACTTATCGATATTGAATAATTATGGATATAAACGTTATTTTAAAGTACATTATATGATGATCATATATTTTCTTTTACAAATTAAATCAAAAACATATATATAAAAAAAATTATCACAATTTATGATATGCATATGTATCATATTTATTTTTAGACATCATTTGCTATGCATATACTACGACGTAATTTGAAATTGAGTGGTTCTTAACCACATAAAAAAAACGATTTATTTAATTTATCTCAGATTTCAAATTAACGATTGTTTATTATTGACTCATATTGTATTCTCTCTCTTCTCGTTAATAACTATTGCATTCATACTGATAATCACATTGTTCCCTCAGCTTGTAATGCAATATTAAATTGCATAAAAAAAACGAACAATAACAACTCATGTACGTTTATATTTATATATATATATATAAACACAAAAGAACGCAGCTGTTGCACATGAAATTCTGTTCCTTTCAGCTGTTACTACTGTTCTTGACAATGAAATTGTTTATTACATAAGGCCAAGCTAACTATTCGTTTGTTGCATTTTATCCGCACGTTTGGCTGCTCTCTTCTTAAATTTCAGATAACACATCTTTGTCGTCGACTACTACTACGTCGTCTCTTCTACTCAATTTCTCCTTTACATTAAAACTGTTTGTGTGTGTGTGTGTGCATATGCAGTGAATTGAAAAAGAGAACGAACGAAACGCGAACGAAGAGAAGAAGAAGAAAGAAAGAAGAAAAGTAAAGGACACTCAAGTAGATGCCATATAACTATTTCTTGCATTAGTAGTCGTCGTATTTTTTTGTGAAAGAAGAACTTCAGCTCTTCTTTTTCTTTTTCATTTTTTTTTCTCTGTGGTCACGAGCCTCGACAAAAATAATAATAACAGCAACAGCAATAACAACAACAACCGCAATACTTCTTTCTACATATAATCGGTGTTTTACATCAACAACATCACATTTAAGAGAAGAAGAAACAAAGTTCGGTACGTGTTTAGTCGTCTAACTAGCATCTTCGTGCAAAGAAGGTATGTACTATATTCACATAGTTCTTTTTATAAAGAGAAGGAGAATAATATAAGAAGACATAGAATAGTGAACAATGTATATGATTACTTTAATATTCATTAAATGATGATTGATTGATGTTCTTACTTTTTAATCGAAAGAAAAGAATTTCTATCAATCTATCACGTACCTGTTTGTATTTTTTTATCAATCAATCATTATATAACACTTTGTTTCTATTAGAGTCAATTTGTTTATGTCTTTTCTTTATAACATCAATGCATATATTTCTATAAATGATTTGAACCGGTCCATTTAACTCTAGGAATCGGAGCAAATCTAAAAATATGTTTTGATGTCTTTGTGTATGTCGAGATGAGAACTAACAGAGTACATGAATTCATTTATGGTCGGCATCCTCCATAAAACGATATTAGTTATTCGTGCAAACATGCGCACAGATACAGATGGTTGTTTTTTTCTTCTTCTTCTTCTCTCTTTGTAATTCACTAAAGTAATCAAACATATATATAAATGTAGACATGTACTCTTTTCATGGCTAATAGGTTATCTTGATGACTTATAAAGCCAATCGTTTTTCCCATTTTTGATCAAGATATGTCGTATTAATGAGCAACATGCTCTTGATTTGTTTATTTTTTATCGATAAACTTTTGATACTAAAGCAATGCACTATCATATCTTTAATTTGTTATTTTTACACAACTACTCTACTCTTGCCAATATTATAAAGACATTTTTAATGTCATTTTTTTGTTTTATTTTCTTTTCTCTTGCTTTTTTTTTTCATCTACATACATATGAATATTCGATCGAATTGAGTGTGTGAGAGAGAGAGAGGGAGAGGAAGGGGGGAGAAAGAGGCGAAGAGAGAAAGAGATGGAGGGCGTTTGCTCTATGAAACTTAATATGAGACCGCAACAACAACATCGACGAATGTTGATCGACCACATAAAAAGCCGTAAATCACGAGAGCACACAAACTCATTCTCAATAATAAATAGAAGCGCGCGCAAGAATACATACACCTAAGAGCAGAATAGAATAGTAAGCTGATGATGAAATTATAATGGTGATTTTTACCGCAATTTTTTTCGTTCTTCCTTTCTGTCATTGTTTCTCTGTAAGTGACTAAAATTTTAACACGTATAAGTCGAACCTCGATCGTACTAATAGCGTCCATACTCAACCGAGTAATATTTCCTTTTATATACGTATTATATGATTGATCAAGTAGAAAATAGATATACTTATAATGCAATTGTATGTATGCATATGTTACCTGGACTAGGACAACAAGTATCTCGATTAAATATAAGCAAAGTAGTGTAACACTAAGATAAACATAGTCCTGATTGGTCACATAGTCGTTACATTTACCTATAGGTATACTCATAGTTTCAAGTGGCAAGAGAACGTGAGAGAAGGGACCCTTTAGCTGGTTGAGCTGCTTAGGCGCATAATAAGGGAGAGAGAATGGGAGGATAAAAAAAAGAAATAAATGCAACTAGCAACAATCGATATTTATAAGGTTGCCCCATGAGTTCGTTTGTTAGATAGACAGACAAACGCATGTGTCAATATATGTTAAAGTGAATGGAGGCGGTCAAAAATTCTTTCGAACAATATATTTTTCATGTCATCAATGTGTAGTGATGGATGTCTCCTTTCCTTGCGTATGAAAATAATTATCTTTCTTTACTATCTCGTCTGTGTGTCTGTCTCATGTCTCTTATATCCTTTAAACAACAAGATTTATTCTTCGAACAATTCAAATGATTATATAAAAATCATTTGTTTTCCTTTCCTCTGGTTTCTTTTTTTTTCCTTCTTTCTCTCACGCATGTACTTTGTCTATTTTTTTATTGCGCCAAAGGAATAATCTCATCTGTATTTGAAGAAGAAACCATAATACTAGACGAAGAGAAAGAAAGAGAATAGACCATTATTCGTTCGCATCTTGTGTACGTTCTTTTCTCTTCTCTAGAACTTTTTTCTCGTCATACTGACTGACAGAACAAGCGGAATAGGTTCTTTTTTTTCTCTTCTTCTTGTCGTCGCCATCTGAGCTAATAACTGACGAATGAGGAATAGAACGAGTAAAGCAGTTGTATATGTGCATATGTAAATGGCAAAAACCATATTGTTAATACATCGAAGAATTTAATAGTGCGCATAACCACTACCATCATTGCGACAACAACACAACACATACATATTTAGGCATATTTAAAATACGTGTACGTTATTTATTATTTGTTCGTCCTCAGCATAATGTACACATAGGCAAATGAATGAGTAAATTCTAATTGCTAACTATTACCACAGACACTCTACCACATACCTTCTACCTTTTCT